ATAGATATATATATGATTCATGTCAATGAGAAGTCAATGAGAAATATAATACATGAGATTAATATGCATATATATATGTATATTCGAATTGACATATTGTTACAAATAAACATCGTTACGAAGATATGATAAAACTGGTGATCGCGATAACAGGCATTCGTAAAGGCTGTGAAACCGTAAAATTGAATTAAAATCGATGACAACGATTCGCTTCGTCAGATTTCCAATAACGTTACTGTTAGCACGTTGTGCATTATTTTCGTCTGTCTGATGAAATGATCCAATTTCGTCGTGTTCCCCGACATATCGGTCGATCGTAAGAGACAAGCACGCAACTTTACGCGCACAACGTTTGCAACGGCCGTTTGCGTGACAATTAGAAGGAGACAAATGTAAAGAGTCAATAACGGAGGAGTGCGTGTAATTCGTTTTGCCGTCGTCGTTCATTGTCGAAAAGCACGCTTTCGCGTCGCGACACACAGGCAGATCCGCCGCTGCGGAGAAGTTAAAAGGTCGTTAGCTGAATTCGCGGCAGCGAACTCAAAACGCTGGCATAATTTACACGGTCGTATCCCACTCGACCCCGTCGTGAGATCGTATCACCTCGCAGGTGTCTAGCCTGCATTCTCGCGAAGGGACATGCACATGCAAGCACGGAAACGCTGTTTAACAATTCCATTCTTGCCGCGAGAAAACGTTTCGCTTAACCCCCCGTCGGTTCTCTGTGAGGCCAACTCCCACGTGAGTTTATGGAGGAGAGTAAGTCTTCAATTCTCGCGCTCTCGCATACCGTGCTGTTTATACCTATATACCTAGCTAATTTTCATCCAACATTATTCATATAAACGTAGACATTTCTTTCAGTACAAATTGATTGTTTATATTCAAATCTATGTAGGATTAAAAGGTATGTTGAATAAAAATTAATTAATCAGTCTTGAATAATAATTGTAAATGAAAGATAATAATTCTTATATTCCTAATATTATTTATGTTTATCTAAAAGAGCGAACGAAAAAATCTATGAATTAACGTTACAATAAAAGCTTAATAACGTCATTATGTTAAACGCATAAAAGGAGCAGGATATTATATAAGCCAATAGCACATTTAAGTCATTAGAAATGTGAGCGTGCTCGTATTGTGCACCCACGCCTAGGGCGTGAAAGAAATTAATTTCGCGATAGCACCGAGCTAATTGTGAACTGTACTTTGAAGTCGCCTTCGATATATCAGGCACCGAATGCATGAACGTATCGCAGCTCTCTATCCTAATGAGTTTCCCGGCCACTGTATATCTTACCGTTGCATTATGTCTACATTCTTAGCACATACATCTACGAAACATTTTACGAAAAAATGTATATAGAATGTTAGTATCTTTAACAGTTGACTTCATACAGCTATTATTTATAAAATTGTGCGCGGAAAGAACGATTTTTTGCTAAATTATTTAAAACTAGATTCAAATACTTCAGCAAGATCATTTGAATTAACTAAATACAAATTTTTAAGTAATTTTATTTGGATCCTCAAAATAATTATGTACGTTAAAACTGATAATTAGAATATTAAAATCTTTGCAGCATTGTTGTCAAGCATTTTGCACAATAATTTTTAGATCTGTATCTAACTATATTGCACATTTTCAGATACTTCATTAAAACTGTTCTGTCCATGTGGCTATGCTTAATGAAAATAATGCATTAAATTTTGTTGTACACATGGAAGCTCTAAAATATATTTAAGATTCAAGAAGTTCACATATTACCTACTCTGCAATTTGAATAAAACTTCACTTAATGATAGCATTAAAATATGATAAGTCGCAAAAGTTAAGCAGCTTCAAAAATAATACCGCGCGCGCGCGAAAAGTACCCCACTCAACTTTAATGGCGAGCTAGACGAGGATAAAATAATTAAAAGGCTTTATACGCCAAAACTTCTTGTTGAAATTTAAGATAAACTTTTATAGTCCCGTAATAAAAATAATATTTTAGTACACATATTTATTTTTTTTAATATTTCACTAAATGTAACATTACTTTCTGACAAGCGAAAACATCTCGTAAAGCTTAAATTGAATTTTTTTGTCGGCAAGTTAAGAATATATTCTATACGTATAATATATTCAATCCTAATATTGCATTCGTAAATGAAAAGGATGGAAAACACGTTTTAATATTAAAAGTAGGAGAAACGTAACTTGAAGCTTATCGTCGTCTTTAGAAAGTGCTTCTATCGTAAGCGAATAGCGTTGATGCACTTTGGTGCAGTGGACCGCGCGCATGTGTCATTATACATTCCTCTTTACTCATTGCCAAAGGTAGATGCACGAGAAATAGCGGTGCGTGGAACAGAAAAACAAAACTGAGAACCGCACACGTACTAAAGATAGGATGTGCAAAAGCGTATTTATATATATGTGTTCGCTGCGCGCATATTTATCTAACGTACGCGTTCGTATTTCGCTACTACGGAGATTTCGGAGCGCAGCGCGAGGCACGGAATTGCCAGTTTAATACCGATTCTGCGTGCAAATACACATGCGGGGGTGTGTCGACGGTGGTTTGCTGTTTGCGAATTAGGTGCAATCAAATGCAAAATCACACTGGCAAATATTACACGATTTACCAATCATAGACTCCCGCAATTAATTGCTCGTCGTGATATGCTATTAGTAAAGACTGTTTCACAGCGTTGAAAAAATATGCAGAAACCTTAAAGATATCATAATTATACACTTCTCGAGATTGAATTTTATTATATCTCTGTTACCTCTCGTGATAAAGATATTTTTGTAAAGATTATTCATTGTTTATCATTGTGGTATTCTGTATTTAATGAATTATTATGTTTCATACGCGATGCGCAAAAGTATAAGGGAACAGATAAAAATTAATAAATGTTACATACATGGTTCATACTCACACTCATCTTGTGGATATTCTTTTACTTATATTTTAATTGAATCCTTCTTGTAACAAAAAACATGTTGCAACATTGCTATAACTTCTTAATTTTCAATACAGTTAATGATATGTTAAATTTCTATATAAATAATATTTTATTAGACAATTTAATTTTAGTAATAAAAATAAAATGGATTTTAGACTCATATTAAAAAGTCAATTACGCAATCAATATATAATGTTATAGAGTAGAAATTATAGTGCGTATTAAGAAGAGCAATAGTAATAAAAGAAGAAAGTTAGTAATAGTAGAGTCGTTTCCAGTATGAATAAAATATAGTCCGTATGTCAATCATGCGCCGTCAGCCATCATCCAAAAATAGGAAATGTGCGATAATTGTTCCGCTAGCTCGAGTTATGTACTTAACAAATCAAATTGCTTCTTCGGTGAATTGACGTTTAGCTTTTAAGAAGCACTTGTTTCAGATATTAATTTAGTCACTTCGTTATTGAATTACTCGTTACATGTATCAGGAATTACGATGAAGTATCATATTATGCTTATACAATTAATATAGACTATGAATAAAAATGATATAATGGCCTGTTAAATATACGTAATGTTGCTTATTAAATAATATAACTGTGATAATTTCAAAAAAGCCTGTAGAGTTTATCAGATCACATGTTAATATTATCATTTGTTTATACTATTTTTCTTGTAAAAGCACAATATAAAAGATATCTCTCATATCTTGATTTTAAATTTTAAATGTTACCACGTCGTAGACACATTCATCTAAAATAGCAACGACAATATAAGGCCACATGACACTACATGAATACTAAACGTGATACTATTTAAAAAGATACTTTTAAAATAGTATTGTTATTTGGAAGTATAGTTAAATAGCAATCTATTTAAAATGCTTGATATATTTTGCGATTAACTTATACCGTTTAAAATAATTCGAATATAATAAAGAAATTTAAATAGCATAGTTATTATGACAACATATATGAAAAAATCTAATCTTACAGTAGAGACAGAATATTTTTCTGCTTTTCTGATTGTTTAAACTCTCAGTCTTTTGATATTTTTGTTTCATCCATTAATCTTCATAATGTACAGTTACGAGAACAAAATATTACTGACACATAAACAGTAATTTTCACGATAAGGAAATAAAGTAGAAACTAAATCTTACATATTAGTACAACTAAATCTTACATTTAGTATAATTACAGCTTATATAGGTATATATATATATATATATATACACACACACACACATATTTTTTGTAAAATACGAGTATATTTTAAGCAAGGCAAATTAATATTTTTAATCATATAAATAAAATTTTATCAAATTGATCGCGTTATATTTATCGGGTTATTTCAAGATACATAAGTTTAACTAAATGCCGGACAATTTATTTGAAAGTACATAAAAAAAGAATAGTAAAAAGTCGAGATAGTTTCAAAATATTGATAATAAATGTTCACCCGAATAGCCCTAAAAAATTCGTGCTAATTTATAAAATGTAATAAAATATATTCAGAGACTGTCTGTTTTATTTGCGCGAGATAAAAATTCCACGTCGGCATGCCATGCATGAATTAAGACTGCAACAATTGTAAAAATTGTAAGTCACGATTTCTAGCGCGCGCGGCTTTCATCTATATCTCTTTGTGAGAGGCATTCTGGCATAGCTAACTCACGTGACGACTAGATTGAGAGAGCGAGTGTTTATTACAGGCCTTATCGAGGTGACACGACTCGAGAACGCGGATTAAAAATCGTCAAATCTCTCATTTCAATCGGATATCGAGCGGGATTCGCAACTAATGTGAGACTAATTCGGATGGTAAGAGACGGGCAATTAACGGACGGATGAAGTCAAGTGGATTTACGGAGCCTTCGGTCGACGGCGTGATAATTCGACGTTAAGTCATTAGCCCCGCACGATTACAGCGCGGGGCGCGTTATAATGGCGCCGGCGTACTTCACTAGCACCTAATCCCGCTGGCATACCACGTGCCGACGCGTGGCGGTGTCACGACGTGTCCGGAAATCTCGCGATTACCTCCCTTTCTGCCGTTTGTCTCGCCATCGCGAGACGTGTACGAATAATTGCACTTGGAGCGTGAATAAACGGAACGATCGCCGGCATGATCTAGGAAGGTGTCCTGTCCGACGGCTAAAGAACCCATTTCCCAGCCGACTGGCCAAGAAAGAGAGAGTAATTATTATCACGCGAAAGGATAAGGCGGAGTTTGCTGGACTAACTTCCGCTGTGATAATTTATACTTGCCACGATTCGCTATAGGACGATTGCAGCGGGTGGTTGGCGCGGCCAAAAGAAAGGAAATGGAAAAGAAGAAGGACCGATGTGTACGCTGAAGAAAGAACAAAACAGATAGTGAGATGGCACAACGCTAAACTTATGAGTTCCCATTTACATGAAATTTTGCGTTTACCGTTTACGATAAATACTAGCTGGCTTTATAATGCCCGAAATTCAAATGGATACGAGGGAAATTTTAAAAATCAAAAAACTCTTTCTATCCAATCAATATAATATTGATTTGAAAGATCAACCCCAGCAACGGTGAAGAAAATTGAGCGAAAAGTCCCGAGTGTTTGTGGTACCGGGCTCATCGCAGAGAATTTTACGATTGAACAGCGTATCCCACAATCGCGATCAACGGAATAACGTAAACTCGCTTTGCGATACCGCATTACGATCGTTCCCGCGGGAACAGAGCTCCTGGCGACGCGACGCGACGCTACTCGAAGCGATGCAGTTGGATAGGCGACTCGATCGTGGCCAATCTCGTTCGCTTAAATTACGACCGGCTCGTAATCACCTACTGACTTTTATCATCCACGTAATAAACAAACCGCAATCGTAAAAGCCAACCGTAAAATTCTCTCGAAGGGAAAGACTCGAGAAAAAAAAAAGAGAGCGAAAGAAACAGAGAAAAAGAGCGCGCGGTTAAATACGCAGACCTCGTGCAGAAAAGTCGTAAAAACGATGCAATGAGTCACTCTTTTTTCCCCTCTCTTACGAGGATCTCGATCGTAAGGGCTCTTCGATCGCGAGAGATGAACAATGGTTCTCGCGTCTTAGCGACGACGCGCATGGTGGCGAGTTATAATCGCAACCGCAATCGGAGGCTAAGATGGAATTCATGAGGAGGGGAATTATATATTGCATAATTGCATAAAGTGCGTAACGCTGTTCGGATCGTGCAGAGCGGTGCGGGGAAGTTGTGCGTCTGCCGGGGATGCTCGTTGAATTTTTTATTTTACCTGATGACGGATCGTTCAGCGCGGATACCCATGTCGCGACGTAGAACACCGGGATCGCGAGAACGGGGAGCATGTTGCTACGTCGACGACGCGACTACGTCAACTGAGGAGTAAATGCCGGGCGCCGCGACGCTTACCGCCGCGACGCGGTTCCGCTTTGCCGCCAACCATGCGGGCGCCTGCGTGCTGCATCGTGCTGTGCGTTCGCGACTTACGCGGCTCGTCTGGAATGGGCTACGAGGAGACGCGGAGATATCTCTGTTTACTATCGAGCACGATTCAAAGCGAGAGCGCGACGAAGCGCAAACGCGATGCAATTGCGTTTTACGCGTACGCTTGTTCGGCGAAGGGGAGAATTGTACGTGCAGTCATACACGCAGACTCCATAGAACGCAAGAAGCACACGATCTCGTTATTACTTTCTTGAAGAACTTTGGAAGATATTGAGACTTTCTCGAATCGGAAACATCCGTATATCTTTTTCTCAGATATACATGCATATTGAGAATATTTTTATTATTGTAATCTACAGAAATTTTTTTAAAGATATGTTTATTTCTTTCAAAGCGACACAGTTGAGCTTCTTATTTACAGAAGAGGAACTATTGAATTCATAAAATGAGAATAGGAACATTTCATACAATCGGATATTTTGAAATGACAATATTAAGAAATTTAAAAAGCGTAGAATTAATAAATTTATGTTTTAAAGTTTTTAGTTAATTACTTCTATATGTCTGTAACGTTACGGCCATCTTTCTTATATTAATAACTAATGTTATGGAAGTTTAATATCGTGCAATTAATACTTATGAGACTCTTTCATAGAAAAAAATTTAAACGGTCTTTTTAAAAATAAAATAATTACGTAAATACTTAATACCAATTTAAAATATATGCAGAGTTAAAATTTTATTTGTTTTTTTTATCGTTTTTTATCAGAAATTAAGAATTGATAAATTATCTTTTCTTATAAAATAGACTTTTAAACTATTAATAATTATATTCACGTAAAGTAACACTAGAGTTTTACGAAATTAATTAAGATTGTTAATGCATTTATGATTAATATTAAATTTATATTTTCCTAATTTGTATAAAGACGTACGTAAGAAACAAAACTTGTCTAATTGTAAATCTACTCTGATTAACGAGGACGCCTGTCGAAAAAGCCGAGAAAAAGCGAGTTTGCAGGTAATTACTTTCGCAATAATTACATTGCCTTGTAATCATTCTAACGATCTTATTTCGTTCTGCATCTGCTTCTTATTTAGCACGGATGAATTTTAAAACATTTTGATATATTCATTCATTCCACGTCAGATTTCAATTATCGCTTTCAATACGTTTATTAAATTTTAATTAATTAGGAATCTTCGGGTACATTTGTATATTCGCTAGAATTATAAAGTATTACCATCCTCACCGGATGTACGTATATTCTCTATTTTTAATCATCTATAGTGTTGACAGTTATTGGAAAACCGACAAATAAGCTATTTCTGTTAGCCTATAGTGATAGCGACTGTTAACTTCAAACTCGACAAAACACTCGACAAGCAGACTGTTTGAAATAGGTCTATCATTTAGGGGAGAATGAGAGAACTCTCTGTGAATACCTAAGGAAAAGTTAAATAAAGCCAATGATTATTTATCAACTAGTAGAAGTCTTTATTCAAAGGGTACTTTAATTATTTGACTTTAAATTACTCATTATGTAAATTACAGTTATTTGACTTTAAGCAATTTATATATCATTATTGTCAAAATATAAACGATAATTTCAAACAAAAGAAACATCATTTTTATTATTTGGAATTACCCGTCGTTATGCAAGCTAGACAATGCCGAATCAGATCATTTTTATTATTTGGAATTACCCGTCGTTATGCAAGCTAGACAATGACGAATCAGATCATTTTTATTGTTTGGAATCACCCGTCGTTATGCAAGCTAGACAATGCCGAATCAGATCATTTTGTGTATAAAATTACAGTTTATTTAATAATAGAGTTAATTACTATAGTTTAAAATCAAATATGCTTTTGAATAAAAAGAGAAGCTTTCATAATTAATAAATAATCATTAATTTTATTAAACTTTTTGTCTAGATATTCGTAATTCTCCCTTCTATTCCACATAAAATTATCAAAAATATGTAATAATATTTATCTAAATGGCATGTGCGAACTGTGTTTATGTGTCACAGTAACAACACTATAAGTATATATCAGACTGTCACTGAATGTGAGAAATGAGAGATTATCACTACTTTAATCTACTACAATAATATCGTTTACGTGTGCATTTCATATAAAATTATCAAAAATATGTAATAATATTTATCTAAATAGCATGTGCGAACTGTGTTTATGTGTCACAGTAACAACACTAAGCATATATCAGAGACTGTCACTGAATGTGAGAAATAAGAGGTTATCACTACTTTAATATACAGCAATAATATCGTTTACGTGTGCATTCCATATGTTTGCAATTCCTCGGCTCGCCCCTACATGTCATCTACGGTGAATTAAGAAATCGTTATTAAAACTCCGAATGTACTATCAAAAAGACTACAAAGCAACGATTGATGAAGTACAAAGCAGTTTATCGACGCATTGTTACGGAAAACAATCATTTGTTTTCGCTGCTTCTCGTAACTTTCTACGCTTCGATGCATCAGCGAATTGTTCACTTTACCACCCGTAGCGTGATACGTACGCAATATTGCTTTTTTTTTTCATGTCCATATAGTTTTTTTGTCACCATTTTTGTCGGGTCGGTTCACGATGCACGCTCATGCAGCAAAAATCTCGCGGAGTTCCCATGCGTTCGATCGTGGCAGAAAATTTTTGTTTTTACATGATTGCATGTAGCTGCAAGTTCCGATACACGCGATAGTATTTTATCTACACGAGAAATGGATCAACAAGCGCTAAATAGTAAATAAACATCGAAATCGGGCAGGACACCTTGTGGCATGGAAAGCATAGCACACACAGTGCAATCCCTATCAACGATTTATCCCACGAAGAATCGCGATGGAAGTGGTTCGCGTGATAATTCATGCTCGCCGTGGATACTATTTCGAGCACGCGTGCCACTTGATGGAATCGCACCTCCGGTTCAGCACCATTACGTACAATTGTTTTCGCTTATTACATGCATGCGATTCCCGTAGGTACGGATCTGGCGAGAGAGCCGCACCGAGAAACTCTTTCTTCTGTGTTTCTCAAACGTGGCTCGAGAAAATATTTCATTCGTGAGTCTAACAAGATTGAAATTTTCAATTTGATGTTGCGCGAGTACTCGACGGGAATTTCATCCATAACGTAATTTGCGCGCAGTAATTTTCGCATGGAAAAAGTCGTTTTATGGACGCGCGTAGGACGAAAGAATAATTAATGTACATACGTATATATAATAATAATGTACATATTGTATGTGTGTATATATTCATTGCTTATAACGTCATAATTTGAAATGTTTGAATGTTTATATTAGGAATCCTCGATATCCCGGATATCGAGGATTCTTAAAACAAATATTTATATATAAACTGTGTTACGAATTGCCAGTTGTCGATTTTATATCAAAGATGAGGAGTTAGTCAATTTTTCTGACAAAGACATGCGATGTAAGAACGTGCGACCAAGTCACTTTGCGTGTCAGTAATTTCATTGTAAAAGCAACTTTACCTTCATGATCTTGGCACCGCGTGCCACGACTCGTGAGACACGCCATACCATCATTAATGCTCCATAACGTAATGCATTATTTTATTCGCATGATCGCGTACTCGCGCTGACTCGTCACTTCGTAACGAATAGTCAGTACAATCTGAAGTTTACAAAAGTACTTCGCGAAAATATTCTTCCCCGTTGCTTACGAGACTGTATTTGCTTTGTCTTTATTTACAACGCATCATGATATATGTGATAAATGAAATATTATCACAATTTCATCATGCGTTTCGGGCAGCGGAATACATGTATTCAATAATTTGAATGTTATCGCAACGGTAAAGTTCGATCTTCCATTCGAGCCCCTATCTTCGTTCCTCTTCCGATTATTCCGGAAAACCAGGTTGCAATGAGTGTGACCGAACTCATTCGGGTGCAATTGTCGCGTGCACCCTTGTACTAGGTACTCCATGCGGCTACATGCCCGGTGAGCGGCAGATGGAAGCGGATATATTCGCGCCAATCGTCGAGGTAGCTGCGATCGATGCGGGACGGTCGAGGATCGATTTCAATTTAGCGACCGTTTAAGCGTGCACGCTCGCGGCTAACGAGCTTTCGAAAGTCGTAGATATCCGACAAGTTGGCCTACGGGGGCAGTCCCGCCGTGGCTCACAACCACCCGCCAGAAACTTACCGCAGTCAGGCAGCGTAAGTACCCGCGAGCATACATGTAACATGACACCGTTAACTCCCTTAACGCCGTACTTGCACTATACAGATTATTACACAGGCGCACGGACACGCGCGCGGTTTCACCGGGCGGACGTTTATGCGGCGCCCGGGGTCGTAGTGGTAGGCACTGTTAACGTCTGAAAAGGATAAGAACGGTGCGAGCGATGGAGGGTGACTGACGGACTGTTTTACTGCTTTTCCAGCGCTGCAATGGAGGAGTCGATGGGGATGGCGTGTGGTTCCCATTGTAGAGATTAGAGAGACCGGCATATGCACCTGAGAAACGGAGTTACGTTCGGCAGCTAGATTACACATTACGCCGCTTTCTTTCTGCGAATCGCTTTTGGGCAAGACAAAGTTATTCTCGTTTCTCTTTTTTTGTTAATATACTTCCTGTGAAAAGAGAGAATCAATATCACTGTAATAGAATGTAAGTACAGAAACGAATCAAATATTGCACTATTTCTAATAGTTTGTACGAGAACTGTTTTAAAAATATATGAAAATATCGAATTCTGATTAATCAGACTGTAAGTTGTAATAAAATAAGAGTACAGTTCCCACAATGGAAAATAATAGTGCGAGATCGTTATAGTTTCTGAACAAAATTATGATTTTGATCGTGTGTTATATATATAACATTAAATTACAGTTAATGAGTTAGTCTCGAATTTAATTAATTATTGTGGTTTTCTGGACTATAAAGACATCTAAAATGTATTTGTAAAAGATTGTCAAAGACTTTCTTATAGCTTAGGTTTCGCGCGTACAATAACGTCTTTAATTAATTCCTTCCTGATTAAAGTTAAAGAAAATTTTCATAAATAGTCTGTAAAGGACTGCAACAATAAGATCTGTGTTCCTTTTTCTTTCGAAACATTCTAATAAACATGTTTTCGTTATAATATTTATATAATGTAAGAGTAGGATCAATAAATAATGTGTACGTGTTAGAAAACCAATTCATTTATTTACGTATAATATCTCTTTTTAGACAGTATAGAACATTTAAAAAATATCGTTGTACAGGCACGCGTTTTTGGACGCTGCAGTATGCGCTAGCAAAGCTGCAGTTTCGAGACTATACAAATCAGATTCGGAGTACAATCACATCCCTGTTATAATCTTACCCTGCCTAAGTTGAGCATAACAATTACGATCGCACTAAAAATAATGTGCAAAGTTGAATTTTTGTAAACATTTATACAATCAGATCATTGAATCTCTCGTCATTCATGATGTCGTAATATAATCGTAACTGTTGTGCAATTAAATGAAACAAGCATTTCGCTGTGTCAAAATAAAATACATTCGAGACAATAAATTCTATCGATCATACATTTCGCGATTATTTATAAAACTATAAAATATATTAGAAATGTAGCAATATGTACTATAACAAAATATTGATAAATTGAATATTTTTCTATACTCTCTTCGTATTACTTTAGAAAGAATTGTGAGATTACTTTCCATAGAAAAAAATTCAACATGAAATAAAATATTGCTTACGGCAGACTGATTTGTTTGTCGTCGCGTACGGCCAATTGATAATACATTGTTATGCATTACGTACAGTAAGAAAGAAACATATACAAATGTGTGGATTACATTTGCTGACAGATTTCGTTACCTTTCCATTCTTTCTTTATTCTACTTTCTCGAATTTTCGTTTCTGCCTTTTTTGAGGCTGTGCATCGAACTAAAATCTCTGTTATGCAATTCGTTTATGAAAAGGAACAATAGCATGCGAAATATTAACGCACCACCGAGTAACGGCTAACCAGAAACACATAACATTCGTCACAAACGCGTACTGGTTTCGCTGAGTTCGGCAAGACTGTAGTATTGTCACTGCAGGCATTACAGAAAATATTCCCGCAATTGCGACAATGGTGCTGTAACAGAAATAATATCGAGTATATACTATTAGTTCATATTAATTGTTAAATTTTTACCATTTTCGATATAAAAAAAGATCACTGTATTATCAATGTAAAGTTGATATTATAAAACGTAATATATTCATATTATGGTATAAAAATTAATATTTTGACAATATTTGTTCATTTATATTGCAATATATTTGCATATAAAACTTATAAATATAAAAATAGGAATATAAAATCATATTCATTTCATTTTATGTTTAAATAAATATAAATATCCAGGTATTTCCATATATTCTCTCACTTGTATGTAAAAATACCAACATTTATATTATACATGTATGTATCTCATTTTTAAATTATTCGAATAAAATTATGTAATAAATAATTGACATCAGTTATAATAATATGTAAGTGTACTATTAGTACAGCAAGATATAGATATTAATTTACGTTTGTACTTATTTTGAAAACGGCAAAATGATTACTAAATTATGAAGATCTTCATATTCATTCTAACAGTGTGAAACTACATTTGTACATTAAAACTTCATATTCAAGATCTAAAAGAAATATTCTATGCACATGGCATATTAAGACTTTATTAAGCTTACAATTTATATTTTAACTTTACTTGCGAAGCAGTAAATTGATAATACGATGGACTGACACTTAACTTCAACTATTGAGTTCAACTAATTTCACTCCAAATGAAAATCGACAATAATTTATAAGATATCTAAACTGTCTTGGGGCAATGTAAATATAGTACGTTTTAAATCTCGTAGTTACAGTTTAGGATTTCAACCGAAACGTCCAAACCAATCATAACTTCACGGCGTATAATGGCGATGAGTTTGCCCGCCTCAGGTCTACACGCTGAAAAGTAAAAAGCTCTGTAGCGTAGTTCGCAGTTACGGATTACGTGTGCTCGTTACGTTCGGGTCAAAAAAAGTGCATGCCCGTACCTGAAGCTGGCACGCGGACAACGGCTGGAGCTTTTTGCACTCGGCACCAGGGATACTATTGTCCGCGCGTCAACTTCAGGTAAGAGAGCGCTTAATACTTTTTTGCGGTGTTTCTTGCACAGGTCATTTCCATGTGAGAGTCGTTAGATTGTGAAGTATAGACGAACATGAAACAGGACTGACTGGCAAAGCTGTTGAAAGTGACAAACGAGGAACGGCGAAGATAAGGACAAATAGATGAAACAAATTCGTGTTAATCATATTGATTATGCAGAAAGCATCTCAATCGCGTTTGTCTTTTCATAATCTTCTCCAGAATTACAGATATACTAAAGATAAATAAAGAAAAATACTAAAAATGTTAGCCAAGTAACATATGCGGAAGTCTATATTTTATTATATAACTGAATTTTCTTTTAATAGCGTATACCTACCTCTCTTATCTAAAGCTAGCGCAATTAATTTACCGTCGCGTTTAATCACACGAGGAATCCGTATTTTGCAAGTCGTGATGAGAAGAACGCACAGTATCCACGCCTTTGATCTCTGCGTTTATTTCGCATCTTTACTCGCGCTCTTTCTGTATTATCCGGTAATCTTTATTTTCGAGCCATTACCGATGGTCTATTATAATAACGTGGTATTCACAGTATTCGCGTATCCCGAAAGCCAAAAGAGAAGCTTAACTAAGGCGACGATTCTAAATTTTACATCTAAATTGAATCCCTTAAGTGAGACGGTCGGATCGTCGTTCTCTCTTAGCGCGAGGATGGTGACGGTGTGAGAGGATGGTTGCCCGGTTATTACCGGGAGAAGTAAGAGCCCGAATAATATCGTCCCGATAACCGATTTCCTCGCGAAGTTAATTATTGAACCGTCATCATGACTTACGACCGAAACGTAGTAGATTGGTGCCCGCAACTCCGTAACCGGCGTGCTTCAAGCACGCCTTATCTTAACCGTGATAGATACCTACTTACAGATACTTTCCAAGACGAATAAATCAGACTGAGATCAGATCCGAGAGATACTGTCGAGCAAATGATCGACCGTAGCGATCTATAAATTTCTCGCGAGATGACTCGACTCTTGGCGCGGACGCGAAACTCTTGGTAAACCGAGGAGACCGTCTCGCGGCTTACCTCGCTTGCCTTTGTAGCTCGTAACATCGGGCAAACTCACTTTTATGCAATCGCATGAGCAAGGAAATGAGTTTTCGTCTCTAAAGTTAAGAGTTAAAAAGACGCAAATGCCGTTGCACGCTTATTTATCTTCGTGGATGTAACGGTGAACGGAAATTCTATTTATCTTTTTTTTTGTAATCGTGGTCGCTTTCATCGGTTTCATAACCAATTTTTATTGTGTTAATGTATTCCAAACAAACTTATCCAGTTAGCTTTATCAAAATTAAAGACACCACGTGATAGAGAATTAAGATGGTTACATCGTCGTAAAGTTCGCCTTAACTTGGAACAAAGTGCGAAGAGTTCTAAGAGATTTCAGAGAAATTAATTATGATTTTGAAATATGCATATTCATCGTCTGTAAGATACGTCCTTTAGTTTCGCTTTAAGTTTATGCAACACATACGAACATTCCCAGCGCATCTCTTACGATCACATTCTACCACATCAACACGAGTATGGCAGCGAATGGTATTCACTTTTCAGCATGTAATATCATTTGATATTGCTTATAATTATGAGCAGTATCCGGAGTGGAACAGGTTCAAAACTTTCCGAAATTTATTATTAAAGGTTACGATATGTATTATATTATATTATATTATACAATTATATTATATTATATCACATTGTAGTTTCGCTGACACCTCGCCTTTTACTAAGAAAATTGCTTTGCACTTACAAAAAGACGCATAATAATTTCTCAATGAAAATATTGTTTGTACTTAAACATTCCTACATATATACATTTACATTTCACGATACACAGATTCAAATTAATATCTACATAAATTTTACACACATTAAGTTATTGACTCAACCATATCCGTTAGAAAATATTTACATGTTGTTACCGTGAGATGAAACTTGGCTGTCGCAATTTGCAATTACTGGAAGCAAATTAAAGCGTCTAGCGATGCGTAAGACACACCGGAAAAGTTTTGCACTTCGTCTCGTTAACATCTCGCCGCGAAATCAAAATTCCGTCCAATTCGCGGGAACTGTGTCAAGTGCGCGTGCAAAGCAATCATCGGTGTGCCATGTGCGCTGGGCAGCACTGCGAGGCATTGTGCATTTAAAAAGCCAGCAGGGGTGAGTTTACAATGTGTCTTAACGTGGTCAACCGCATCGCAGCACTGGAAGGATTATTGTTTTATTCGCTTTTGCCCGCGTGAAAGCTTGCGGCCACCAGTATTTTTTCCACCTGCAAACAAGCCCGTACCTTTCGAAGGTCTCGCGCCTTTCTCGCACGGCTTCTCCGTTGTGCACCTGCCAACGGAACGGTTTGCCCATTGGCACGATTCCCACCTACACAGCTGGTCGTGCTATGGGTGGCCTATTCTATATTAAACAGTATGGTAATACACCTACCGGGCGAAAAATGAGTAACAAGGATACCCGAGCACTGCCTTGTTATTATGCAATAACTTACCACCCTTTCCTACGCCCTCCTTTCAACCCTCCCCATTCCTCTCGCGCGCGGGCACTACGTATATTCCTTGCCGGCTACGTAAAGCAAAGAAGAGAATACGGTCTAATGTATTTTATGGAGCAAGCAACGTCTCTATCATATTGTCGACTGAATATGCATGCGGGCCATGCATGCACAACGCGTAATCATGAATGTATGTCGGATGATGATGCAAATTATGTAATTCGACGTTCTAAAAAAAAAGGCAAGAAACGCTGCTCCGCAAACATAGTCACAGGCTTAAGGCTAAAAACAGAGTTTTTGTTAGCATTCTCCAAATAGTCAGTATTTTATGCATCGTACATTGAAAAAAAGAGTCTGATAATAGTTATCAAATATTTGGTGAAATAATTACAGTCAAATGTTAATACAGCCAAAAATAATTTTTTGTTACATTAAGCGAACATTTGAATAAAATTATTTCACTTAACATTTGATAATTATTACCAGACTCTATTTTCAGTAACGGCTCTTTAATTTGCTCTTGTAGTAATTGCAAGTTGTAATAGTTAAAGGATTTTATACTTCTTATAAAGAAACCGGTTTCTGTCAAATTGAATAAATTTTTGATTGGTTGTTTTTACAATTCTGATCAAGTCTCAAAAGACATGACTTCAGAAAAATTCTAACTTTACGGCTACTAATTAATGACTTGGATGTAATAATATATAGAGAACATTAAAAAACTATATCAGTCTCCTTTTTTTATTTGTTAATAAAATCCGAAAAAAGACTGAAAGGTTGCAGAAAGGTAAAAAAGGTCTAAAAAAAAGTACAAAAAAATTAGAGTGATCTTATGTATAGAAGAAATACAATAAATTTCTATGAAATACACAATTTTATGCAATTTAAGGTTCCATAATCGTAAAAGTTGAATTTTTCTGAGGTCATGCTCATTGAAATTTATCAGCGTCATAGAAACAATCACATTTAAAAAATTTAGCCAATTTGACAAAAAAGCCGGTTTCTTCATAAGAAGTGTACGGAATTATTTTATTTTGAAACGTGTGGACGTGCAAGATTAATTGTTATGACAATCATTGATTACCAAAGAAAATACCATGATGCACGCGATTTCTTCAGAAGATCTCTGCAAGCGAGTTATTCCGTAGCGATTAGCGTTGACAGCCAACTCCAAAGAAATTCTATTATTTATCGCAGACGTCTGCGTAATTTCGATAAACTCTCGACCGCGCGTAAATCCTGCTACAGAATTTATCCATATGACGAATGCACGAATACACTTGCTCGTTGTTAGTGCGCCGCGTGCTTCTCTTATCGATGCACGCAACTGCAACGAACGGAACGATCAAGATCTCCGCGCGAATACTTTAAGCGCCCATGTCGTGCCGGCACGTGTGATTTGCACTCGAAAAATGGAAGTTAACCAGCGCGAGTTCTCGGAGCTTTGTTACACGGCCTAGGAAATCGTTCGCTTTTACCGTGTAACGCGACACGTCTCTCACTCCTTTAATGAGCGAATTAAAAAGCGTTACGGACGCGTGGCCGACGTATTCGCGCGGCAGGTGCTTAACAATTGCCGCTCGAGAACTTGTTTAAGCCGGTAATCCCTCAGCCGGCTCTTATCTATCCACAAATTCCGGCCCTCATTACGGCCTATCGCGATTTAATAAAGGGGGAAGTTAGGTAAACGAAAGCCTTTAAGTGTAATTGCCGGCTCGGGGAACGCGATAGCCCGCTATCTCTAATAATACGACTGTCGTGCATCAAAGTTGTTGCGCGCGAGAAGCGATTTCGATCTCGAGGGATCCTGACGACCTGACGAGCGCCTAGCCCTATGCGCCATCAGATCGTCGAGGTTAAGTGTATCTCGTGGTAATGTCAAGACTACCCTGCCACGACTCGAACGATCCTGGTCATTTAACGCGAGCTTACTTTACCTTGTCTCTTTTGTCGAGTCCGATGGCTGGAATCCGCATCAGGGTAAGCAGTAATTTCTCGAACGGCGGAGATAATTGAACAATTACGTACGGTGCGCCGCGCTTTCAGTCAAGCTCTTTGCAAGCGCGAATCGTCTCTACGAATAGATCGAATAAGCGAAAGAGGAAGGTAAGGGGGGAGAGAGAGAGAGAGAGAGAGAGAGAGAGAGAGAGAGAGAGAGAGTTACGAAAGCGTGAGAGCAATTAAAAAGTTTGATTACCTTGCGACGAGTCATGTTGAACTCACGACTGCACCCCTTGCATTGGGTGACCATCCGATCATTTGCCCAGGTTACCGCACCCTCTTGCAGTGTCGACTGCTGCTGCTGCTGAGCGTTGTCAGCGGCCTCGCGCAATTCGGCGGCCGCTAATTTAGCAGCGCTCAATTGTCCCCCAAGTTCCTCCAGAGTTCGTTCCTGTTCACCGCACACCTCCTTTAGAGCGTAATACTCTTCCTGCAGCGTCAAATATCTCTGGAACAACCATATATATAATTGCGATTATTTAGTATACATTCATTTGTTCATCGTCGCGAAATGCAAATCGGTTCACTGCTAAAATGAGACTTAAATGTGGATGTCAAATTACGAAGAAAAATAATTTTATTGAAATATCTAAAAGTTTATAACTAGATACAGATCTAAAAATAATTTTATTGGACTAGTAAATAATTATATAGAATACATGAAAATTGATAACAATGCTGCAAAAAGTTTTACTATTCTAACAACCAATTTAAGTGTCCTACTTAATTATTTTGACGATCCCAATCTTATTTTCAGATCTACATATACCTATCTAAACTTTTAAATATTTCAGTAAACTCGTTCTGTTCTAATATATGTACATATATATATATATATATATATATATATATCTTTCGATGATATCCATTTGAATCGATATCCAAAATGTACATAAAATTTTAGATAAGTTTTGTTCTTTTTCACTATGTTTTTATGTTTGATCGAAGGAATTTTAACTAATAATATTTGTGTATAAATTTTACAATTTCTAATTTTTTCAAGCAATCAGCGTGCAGATTATTTGTTGGTCTTTGAAAATTATTTTTTCAAATTCAGTTTAATTATTAATTATTCTTGTATGTTATAAAGAAATAAAGAAAAAATTTCGTATATTTAATATCAAGAAAGATATAATTTTATTATACGATAGCTTAGCGCACATTGACTGTTTGACTTACAACTTTGTACTCAACGTCGTAATTTCACATTTTACACACACATATATTAACCGCATAATTATTACAATTAAATATACATCCAGTAAATGTCATTGTCTCACGTTCAAATTAGAAAGAGAGAGAAAATTAACTTATTTATATCTCAAAAAAAGAGAACTGTCAAATAACCCGTAATACACTTTAAGAATCTGTAGAAATGAAAATTCAGTAGTTGAAATAAATTTCATTAATCTATTCCAGGACGGCAGCGCCGTCGCACTTACTGTCGGTTCTATTATCGAAAGACGGATAAATCTCCATTCTAGCGTGCGGATTGAATTAGGTATGGGCTTATAATCCAGGTTTCGGGGGTGAGATTTAAATAGAAAGATCGGATCGTCTCTCGTTCCATGAGGCTCACCGTTGTCTGAACTTACGAGTCGGCGCGGGCGCGACGATAACGGCGATATCGTGAGATTTATTCGCCACGGGTACGCTTAAAAGGCAATACAGATCGCACGTGGATACGTACCTCGGACACCCGTTTCAGCTGATCGATCTCCTGATGTAATTGAGAGATCTTCTCCGTGTTACAGATCGATGTTTCCTGCAAGGAGGTTCTCCACTCGCGCTCAAGTTGCAATTCCCTCTCGACCCCATTCGTCCGCGCTTGCCGCTCGGCAGCCTCGGCATCCAGAATCCTCACCTTCTCCTCTGCCCCCGATCTGACACCATCCATCTCCTTGCACCTGATTAAGTCAAATCGGTGGTATTTAAACGTCGAAGAGACATAAAACTCGTGTCTACATCGCTCGAGGCTATTTTATTCAATTGGTTCAACAATCTTTAACTCGTACCTCGCTCCAGGATTAACTTGGGATTTTAAAACGAGTGTAATGACGTGTGATGGTTATATCTAGATGAAGACCTTGTTCGCTTATTAAAAAATATCGGATGACATAAATAGTCTCATATATCATATTTACTACCAAGAAATGATTTAAATTTTTCAAGATTTGTTATTTATGCATGTTTATTAGCAAAGAAAATAAAATATATCCATATTATGGTTCGATGAATTAAACTTAAATATTTAAAAAAATACGTATTTATTATTAAGAATTATATGAGACATATCGTGTAAATATGTTATAAGTAAATAAAAGTGTATATATTCTCGCGTATTTAAGGAACTGTTCTACGATTACATTACAAAAAATGGGAAAGAGAATTAATACAAACTGGTATAAAACAATAAATATATCATTTCCCATTTTATTTCAAGGAATAGAACAAAAGACATAAATGTGTCAAATATTAATAAATCTACAAATATAAAAAAATATCAGAATAAAATTACAAAATGTTAATCTAAAAAAAATTTTCATTTTATATTATTACTACATTTTAATTACGTTTTTAATTATAACATAAGTGTATTCATATGTATATACTGCATTAGCCACGTATTTATCAAAAATAAAAATGTATATTATACTATTTTATATGTTTAATATACATACAAATAAATTTATTAAAACAATAAGGCTGTTGCATTCATATAATTTACTTGATAATATTGTGATATATACAATTGCTAAATATATATAACTTACCTCACAAGATATCATTATATAAGCAATGATTGTACAACAATAAAAAAAGGAGAAAACTTTATTCAGAAATTAAAAAAGATTACAAAAATTTTATTCAATCGTGGCATCTTAATTAGCGATGACTCTGGGATAAACAAACTCACACTCTCTTCTATCATAAATTTATTTTCGAAGTATTGGTACAAGCACACGTAATGTCAGAGTGCGTCATAATTTTCACTGCGCGAAACTTATACAAGTATGTAAGTATATCAATAATATGAGTATGGCACGTTTAATTAATCACCATCGAGCATTTTACTTCCAATAAGGAAGTAACGCTATCATCTTGGAAAAATGCCTTGCGTGGGTACGTGTATCGATTACAGATGTCATAATATAACAACTTACTTAAGATAGTTATCTTCATATGTGAATGTTAAATAAAGAAGGAATAATTCGGTGACAAGAACGATTGTGAATCAGTTCCTTAAACACGATCATAAATAAGAGTAAGTGTTTTATTTTAGTTACAAAGAAATATACAAAAATTTATATCTTCCTAAGAAATAATGTCAGATGAAAATTCTTCAACAATGAGAAGTAAATTTTCATTTATCTCTGAAAATCATAAGAGCATGGACAGACAATATGAAATCAATGAAATGTTTGTTAATATTATACTTTTCCCGTTTGACAGCATTAATGAAGTTTATTATTATAATTATATGATAATATATAAATTTATCGATTATTGCAAAAGATTTTAAAATATGTCTTGTCAATATTATAACAACTACGTATTAATATAACTATTTGTAGAGTAATCATTAAATGAAGTTTGCCAATATATATCAATAGATTTTGTTTAATCCTAGAGCTTTGCGAGTTTTTAATCTATTCTACCTAAATTTGTTCGCGTTCACGATATCTAACTGTAAGTAAAAAATAAATCATTTTGTAGCTAGAGCTGATTCATTTATTTGCGTGCGTACTTCATTTAAATGTTGGTATGACCATTCGCATAACAAAATTTAGTATAACAATAGCTGTGATAGGAAAATCTTATAATAATTATATTTGTACCTAAATAATGCCTGTTAAAATAGTTCAATAGTATAAAAACATTTTCAATGCTTCTTTAAGAAATATTAACATTACGCAAGAAGTTGATGAAAAAAAAAAGGTCAAGTTTACGTATCTCAAATGTCACATTTTGCTGAACAATATTAATTCAACTAAAATTTTAAAGCGTATAAGAAATGCGAATATTAGCCTTTTTTATATTTTTACAATGATAAATATAGTCTTTTATATAAGTATATATATAAAAAAAGACTACGCTTTTTTACGCGCTAAATTTTATATCTACATAGACTGCAGATGGAGCAACAAAATATGTATCTTAAATATATATACATCAAAAAAAGTTTTGCATGGTTTAAATATTTGCCATATTTTAAAAAAATGCTAATTACAATGATTATGTAACAGAGAATAAAATATTTTAAAATAGAAAAATAACATATTTACAATAACAAATCTAGGGCCATTTCTTGAAATATACATGCATCTTCATTATTTTACAAATGGAATAAAAATGAATTTTTGTGTGTTTGTGTTGGATTTTTGCTAACAGACATATAATTTTTGCACGAAAAATGATGACACTAAAGCACCATTAGATAAAGCAGTATTGATCAAACTAATTCCGTCACTTCATTTATAGAAACCCTGCACTAGAAAGCCTTGATACTGTAAAACAAGAAGCTGACTTACCAATACACTTTTCAGTTAATTAATCAAATGAAATGCTTATAGTAGTAAAAATGTATTAATACCTTAATACAAAAACCCAAGATAATAAAATGCAAAACATTTTTTGATGTGTAATTATTAGATTACACGCGAGCTATTTTTAGTCCCAAGTATGCGCGTGATTAAATTGCACTTATACGTTAATTAACACTAGTGAAAGACAAATAAAACATACTTCTCATCCATTTTCTGGATGGTCTCACTCATCGACAGCGTTTTAGCTTCCAGTTTTGTAATCAGTTCTGTCTTATGCTTAAGTGAGCCTTCGCACTCCTGAAATAAATATTTATTAAATACAGGCGAAAGATACAGACATTTATGATTGCTCAAATTTCTAAGTCAACCTGGAATAGTAATGATATATATTGAATTGCAAATAATTTTCGCAATAATTAGGCATATGATGATACAAGTTTAATATAATGATGCATTTTCTTGAAACTTGTAATTTGTCATATGTAGAATGTGTGATATTTTCGCAAATATGATGTAACGAAATGTTTGGAATGAACCTCTAGACTTTTTAAATCTGTATAATTTTGTATATATGTGTAAATAAATTTTTCTTGCATCTATAATATCATCAATAATAGGAGAGTATACATATAATAAATTTACATATATTTAAAATATTAGATTTCAAATTTACATTATATAGTCTTTAATATAAGTTGCTTATTACAGTAATAAATTAATAATTTATATTAAATACATGTTGCTGAAAATTGTTTCTTTCTCTTTTTACACATTAATATTGCAAATATATTGAAATTCAAGGCGCTCCATGTATCACAATCAAAATTAATTAATTCGGAAATTATGATCGATTATTTCTTTAAATAATAATATGAGTGTATATAATAGCGGGTGCAAAAAGTTTGCAGGTCAATGAGTAGTTTTAGACATATATTACTTATAGATAAAAAAATCTTTACAAATAAAGCTCTATTATAGTGTACAAGAACTTTAAATATTTTAGTATTTAAAATATCGCGTATTTAAGTTGATTGTGATGAAAACTTTATTAACTTAAAGTATAAATTGAAAATCAGATTGACAAAAATTATCATAAAATTATATGTTCGCCGAAAGCTTTTGGCAGCCACTATATACTTCATAATGCAATATGATAACATTTCTAATAAGAATTATTGTCTTAAACGTAACCGTCTATATTGGATTAAAGTGTTGGCAGTTTGATCCAATGTCTCAGAAAAGTCTGCTAAATCATTTCGTTACACCATAGTAATTACTGCATCATAGTAATTATTGCATTTGTTAACATAACGACGATTAATCTTCGAAAGTGGCACTGAATAAGAGTGTACGATAATATGCTATGCGCGAAACATAGGTGGAAATCTGGCAAAGTAATTTTGCACGACTCTGTAAGGTGTACGTATAAAAAATGTACGCCTTGCGTGCAGCACTGAATAGCCGCGATATCCGAAGTGTCAAGATCCGCTGTGAAATTAATCGTTTAAGAGTAGGCTGTCTTTATTCTTTCGCAGCTTGCTCGGTCGTTGAACTATTCGTGGAAATCTCGGAGGTAGAACGACTTTGTTTCAATTTGTCATTAGAGGCTGTCGCTTGCTGCTTGTCAAGGGAGCGTTGATGATCGACCATCGATCGGGAGGTCGTATTTTTCGTAGGTGGGCAACCCCTCGGGGGAGTAGGATTAGTCTTATTAAGAATAGATTTCGATACGCCACTCGGAGTGGTGGGGCTCCGTATGCCTTCGCCATCCTTCATCAAATGATTATACTTCTCGAGATTGTTAAGGATCTTGCCGATTTGATTAGTCTTCGCGTGAAGACGGCTGACCATCTCGCCCTTCTGTGTCAGTTCATGTTCACACTCCTACAAGGGAAATACGTCCAGAAACGGAGAATTTACGTGTCAGCCGAAATCTTCTCCAAAAAGAAAAGATAACAGCGAAATAAAAATTCCCACCATTGTCAGCACACATCCATAAAAAAGCACCTAAATATGGCTAATGTAATAACAATCTATTTTGCATAAAGATAATTTAGCTATTCATTAACAGACTGCAATATTAATAAATAGGAAAAATATTAATAATAATATATAAAGCAGGTTATTGTTTCTGCGCTATAATTAATGGTTCTATTTAAGAGTAAATTCTGTGATTAAAAATTTTAGAAACTTCAGAAAAAATTTTAGTAAATTATATAAAGAAATCGCGTTTCGCGATATAGTATACTTGGCTACATTAAATATCACATATGTTTAACGAGAAATATTATACATAAAGAACAATTTTATTATAAATAATTAAATAAACGATTAAATATTTCCTAATTAAGATAAAACAAATTTACTAAAAGAAATTATTAGCATATTACAAACACGTTTTCTCTCTCTCTCTCTCTCTCTCTCTCTCTCTCCTTTCTTACATAAAATTTAATAAAATAATTTGATTAAAGTATAAGTAGACTATATCACGTAATTAAAAAATTATAATAGGATAGTTGCAAATTACACCACCTGCAGCTTTTTGTACATTTCCAAGTTAATTAATTTGATATCCTCCAGCTGACGTCTTAAAGATATTATAGTATCCTGTTTCTCGTGTATATCCTTCTCTAACAACTTCATAGCTACTTCCATTTCGGATTTCATGCTAATCTGTATAAAACAAAGACAAAAATACTTATCAATCGCTATTTTCTTTATTTAATTTTTTAATATAAAAGTATTAAGAGTAATATTCTATCTGTGTATATAAAGATACAGAAAGAAATATAAAACAATATGAATTCTTATTAACCTGCAATTCTAGTTCTTTCTCTAAATCTTGCCGTGACTTTTTTTCAGATTCTATTCTGCATCTAAGTTCTTCAATTTCAGCAGTCGTTTCTGTTATTTTAAGAGGTATTTTTCCATTCTGAAATTAAATCGATCAATTCAATAACACGTCAATCTGTACGTAACATGAAAGTTTGACGACATCAATACCTCGTTTGCATCTTTAACTTCAATACCAAGTTCTTTTTTTAATTGTCTATTCTCTTCTTGAAGCGATAAAATATTATTTTTAGCAATAGCAAGATCTTCTTTCATAAGAGCATTTGTTGTCGTTAGAGATTCTACTTTAGCTTGAAGATTCGTCACTGTTGCGCTAAAAATGACAGAAGAAATGTCAAAATACGTATAATATTGCTTATATGTATGCGCAACATTTTGTTTAAAACGTGCGAAGCAAATATTTACTTTAAATGTCGGTTAAGTTCTTCGATATAATTCTTTTGATCAAGTACTGTGGTCATATTGTCGTTTTCGAGTTCATCATCTGGCGATTCGCCAGGTATATGATTACTATTGCGTAGATATAGTGAAAAGTCGATTACGCCCTGCTGGCAATCAAGATCTTCTTCCTGTCGCAATAGTTACAATCGATCTTGAGTTAACATCATTATCACTCTAATTAAACGCATTCATACACACTTATTTCACGTACGTGAAAGACGCAACAATAATCCAAACTGACCTTTACACAGAAGTTGCAATCGATCACATTTAATCCCACTAACAAACCCATTACTACGATTGCCTCTTCGCTCATCATTAGAGCATCTGGTTCAAAATATTCGGACAAAATATCATCTTTGTGATCTATCAGAATTTTTAGATAATCTGCTAATTTCTTTTGCATCAAAGCCATACGCAGCCAAGCGCGCGCCCTACCCATAGCCGTCCTAAAAATAGTAGCGAAAATATATTCCAGACTTGATATAATAAAAAAAATCGATAAAAATATCAAATTAATTTAAATCCTAAAATTAATCAATGTAATTATATTGCTACAGAAGCAAAAATATAAAAGCAATTTTAAGAATAAGAAACTTTAAAAAATTTTAAGGAAAAATCTAAAAGCTCCATCATTGATTAATATAAATTGTACCGGTCATGTTTTAACAAGAAATCCTAACAAAAAATATTATATACATATTTCATTTTACCGTAAATAAAATATAAGATACATTTTGTTAATTAATCATGTAATCAATTGGGTAAGTTCAAGTAGATAGGTATAAATCACATCGGAATAAAAATATGCAGTACCTAACAGTAGGTAAATCACGAATGCTGGACGTAATATCTTGTGCTTCAGGACAATATTTCTCTACAAGCTGAAGAATATCCCATAGCTCCTTTTTGGGTCCGAGAAGACCCTGAAATCGGAGACCTGTTAGTATCAGGTTGTAAAAATTACTTCTTTATTGTCCGCACGACGGCATTAAATTTTACCTTCTTCGGTCGTAAACCATGCCTAAGCACATGTTCAAGAACGATGAAAAAATGTTGCAATGGCATATGGTCAGAATCAAGCATACGACCATATTTCAAAGATGTTTCAATCAGCTCCTTGACGATTAGTTTTGAAATGTTAACGAGATTACTCCTCTCGATGATGACTGGATCTCGTGCTGCAAAAACAATACGTGTGTGTTCTAATTTGCAGTGTGATCTCGATTAATTTTCCTCGTCAAAAATAATTTCAAATTCGACGGCTAGTATCTAGTCCTGGATATATAAATATTCTTAACGTTCTTTTTTAATTAAAATCATAATCAAACTTAAACAATATATAAATGATTGCATAGCACTTGTGAATTAATTTTATAATTTCATATTTTCTATAATAAATAAAATATAAATAAAGAAATGTAACAGTGAGCAAAAATTTGCGGTTCGACTATTAAAGAAAAGCATTCCAACCAAAGCGCCCATGGTAAAGCGTGTGATAAAGAGGAAGAAACATTTTTTCCATTATGAGCAAGAAAAGCAAAACTTATTCCCGATATAAATGTCACAACACAATAAAAAAAAAACTAATTCAATATCCCTGAATGTAATTCGATAATTAAAACGGGCGAGTGCAGTAACATCCAGTACAGACACAAGCTGGAGACGTGCTGCAATGGCGGTGGACTTGGTGGCATAATATCGCGAAGCTCTTGCTGTTCAGGAAACTGTTGCTGATGGTGATGATTGTGATGATGATGATCATGATGATGATTAATACCACTGAGAGCGAGCGGTGGTGAAGGTGATCGTTGCATCGAATCCTGGAGTGAGAATTCGACATCCTGAAGCTCCTTTAAACAGAGCCACTCGCCATCTACCGACACTCGAAAATTGCACAGATATATTGTGTCCTGGGCACCAGCCATATCTTCTTCCAGCATGACCCCGCCGTGATGTACACCACCGTGATCACCCGGCGGCCGCAATTTAAGACCAGTCAGGGATTCCTGCCGCATAGAAGACGATTCCTCTATCGAGGTCTCAATCGATCTTGGAGATTTATGCGATATCTTTTAACGTTTGTTCACTATTATATAGACAATTGACTTGCACAGATTTTTATTTCCTTCAGTAATAATTTTCATAGATTGAAACAGCTCGTTTTTTTAAGCCAGATCTTTTTTCCGTTATTAAAATAACGAATTGATCAGAATTAAAAAATAAGTGTCGATTTGTGCTTCCAATATATTTTTTTAGTCCACAATATTGACTCGCTCAATGCTGTACAGTAGAGTATCTTCTTCTTCTGTTACATCGATCAGCTGATAGAGAAATGTGTCGCAATGGATGAGTCACCGCAATAAATGATGATATATATTATAATCAGATTTTACGTTGGTGGCAACAACGTAAAAAAATTATATATGTTAATTATATTGCTGTTTCTTGTTATTTCTTCATATATTATCCTTCGATAATCACTACTTGTTTTGAGAGCGAGTAGATGCTTGCTTTAATAAGTAGTGCTCTAAATAAACTGCAGGTACCAAAGAGACGGTAAATAGAATCTCAGCTTAGGCGAAGAAGAAATGGTAAACGCGCACTGACGCGGCGACTACATCGTAGTAAGATGATATGATTATTCGCTCACGAAGCGGCGTGTGATTTAGGAATCAGCGCACTCATAGAAACAACTTGGAAATCGTACGGAATGTCGAGCGAAGAAAATTTTACGTCGAAAATAGTGAGAGCGCCGGCAAAATGTGAATATTGATTTTCCCGCTGACTTTGTCTCCATCTACAATAATCAATACGGATGTAGCCGCATATTGCTATATGGTGCTGCCATCACTTTTCTGTATTGCTTTACCGGTATAACAGTACGCAACAATAAGAATAAAATTTATAAAATTACAGAGAAAAATAGGATAGTAAAATAAGAATAAAGAGAACAATTTCCATGTTTTAAAATCTTATTTTGATATTCTAAAAAGATCAATATTCCTATATACATAATTATAAATGATTAGTATTTTAGAATGTCTTTTAAGACTATTTCATTTAAACTATAAAATAATTTTCAACATGCATTCATTCTGTCACGTAAAACTGAAGCAATCGTAGATACGGATTTCTTTCTTATGTAGAAAATTTAACTATGTAAATAACTTAATTTTCATACCGCATCAATTAATTACAAGAAAACAGCATTAAAGATATCAAACACCGTATAAAATGTCATCAGTATCAACGTACCAAATATATCACATTGTGTTTAGTCTTCTCTTCTAATTCGTGATTATTCAAGTGATAACCATGTCAAAAGTACGTATGTGTAACATCATTGCTATCAGTAATACACCATCACTTAAGATATACAATGTAATTGGAGTCCGCACATCGCGTAAACAAAAATAAATAGATAAATTAAGAAAGCTGATAATATATTAATAAGAAAATTTAATAAATCTTGCAATAATTAAACAATATAAGAATTTTATTATAAACCGTATATATGAGAACACAATCAATAAGAAATAAAAATTAAAGGCCTATATAGTCGAAGCTGGATCTTTGGTGCTTAAATAATTCAAATGTGATTTATATATTATATACATATACCATACATGTACATGCATATATACCATTTGTAGCTTTATCGAACTGCACGCCGAAATTTTTCCGGATTTGCAAATGCAGGTAAACTACCGAAACAATACACAATTAAATTTTGTTACTCATAGGCATCTGTTAAACAGATCTTAATATAATAAAAAACTGTAAATAAATTTATTAAATTAATTTAATAAACTTGATTAAATGATTATATGTTACATATAAAAATGCTTTTGTATAAAAAAGGTCTATAAATCTTAATACAATCTATTAATTAAGTAAAATAAAAATTGAAAATCAACATTTAAGTGGAACGGATCTAATTATAAGTTTAAATAAGCATTAATTAATTATTGCAAATGTATAATTTGAATACCATACTTTATATTTATAATTTTCACTCATATATTAATTTGTATGTCGTTAATATAAATTAATTTATTGTATATTTAAAAAAAAGAAACACAAGATAGATTTTTTAAATAAATTACTATTTACTCATACTTTTTCACTCACTTCAAATTCTCCAAATTAACATTTTATAAAATTAAAGCACAAGACGAAGATTGGGATCGAAACTGCCGATTGATCACGTCGATTTCACATGAATGTTTGCGTCACATTTCAATAGTTTTAATTTATATTATTTATACAATATTATATTTTTCACATTATTTGTAAGTATTTGTTGTAATACTCCTAACACAATGCAAATAGACATGAAATAAAATTTGCGTGTGTATTACGTGTTATGACAAATAATTTTCAGGACACAGATAATTTAAATAATTAATTATAAAATAATTTAAAATGCTTACAAAAATTCTTAAACCGTATACGTGCCAATCGGTATTTTATAAGCTTCCATAGCATTTATGTCTTTTGACAAGTAATAATTGTAAGAAATTCAAAAATAATCGAAGCAAAAACCAAGATTTAAAATCAAGACAAAAATCAATTTCTTATTTATAAAATATGTTTTACTTATTCCTTTCCACTATCTTTAAAAACTTATATTGTGTTGTTAATTTAACATTGTTCAAAGCGCGTTGTTTAAAATCATGATTTAAACTCTTATAACCTTATTATTATAATACAAAATTATAAAAATGCGTACCACACACGATATATTATAAAACTTAAGTCTTTCCTCTCTAACGTACAATATTTTAATATGATCACTGAAAAAGAAAATTTTATGACGCTATGATCTGTGCAAAAAGAAAAGTGCAGTTGCTTACAGCTTCATCGTCATATATATCTGATACAAATGACGTAATTATTGAAACATATGTGTTACCTATAGAGTTTATACAACGTTTCTAGCTGACAGAACGATTGTCAATAAAGAAACAACAATGATGGCGAGACACGTGGGCGCATAGTACGTCCACGCGCGCTTAACACGCGGGCGCCAAGCTGAGCCCGCGAGCGCCGGACTTTTGAAAAGCGCGCCGAATCATGGGACCATGCAACCATCGGTCTATGTACTCACGTCTCGGCAACCACCAAGCATCCAATTTTCTGGGTCTGGACACGACGAGATCGGGCCATTTGTCCTCCCGTATGGAATAACTTGACGGCGAACGTGAGACACTTTTTTCGTTTTCATCGGACGCGAGGCTACCGGTGAGCGATTTCTCGGACGGGGATATTGGCAAACCGTCGCCACTCTCTGCGGCCATGTTTACGTTCCCACTGTCGACTAACGGCGCATTCACCGACACAGATACGTTCATGTGCGTATACGCGCATGTATAAATGTGTTCGTATCTCTGTTACGGCGACGAGTAGGCCGCGCGTCAATCCTCTTGCCAACACGTGGTAAGAATTCTCGTCACGGCACATACGCACGCCTACATCAAATGGATTTCGGAGTAACGTGACACAATTGAAACAAATGAAGTTTGCTATTGAGCTTCTTGGACTTTTGCCGAATAATCGAAAATATTACAACTTATTATAATTGAATCAAGAGATGATGTAAAAATTACAATTTACAAATATAATGCAATATCGCTCAAAATGTGTTATTACTTGATACATATTATATGTATATGCGGAAACGAATACATTCTTTTTCTATTTTTTTTATCTTTTACAAAGAATCTCTCTCCATACACTCTACTTATTTAACTTTAAAACTCCCTGTTTGCAATCTTGATCACTTTGTGGGTACAAATAAGATTTAATTCACTTTCAAATTTCTCTGAAATAACAAAGAGCTGTGTTTGATTTTTATTGTTAAGTTATTTTTAAACAAATTTCTATTTCTTTTCATTTTTGCTCAATTTTCAATTTTTATTAAATAAAGATTTTAACATTAGATTTAAAAGATCTAGATTACAGACAGAGGGAGCAAAAATATGATTGTACACACATGGAAGCGAGTATCTCAAAATTAAGTACAATAGATTTTTGTTTATAAAGAATATATTGATTATATGTATATATGTATATATATATACATATATAATACATATATACCTATATATAATACATATATATACTTATTATGTAAATTTTTTTAATTTAATTATAAAAATATGATTGGAAAAATTATTTATGGACTTTCTGAAGTGTTTAAATAATTTTAAAAATATCTGTATTCTTAAGCAATATGTTATTCTTTATGTATTCTTTTGGAAACAAATTTATTGTAAATAATATATTAAGATGTAAATATTAATAAAAAATCTTTCAATTATTTAAAACATAATTAATAAATCACCCTCAAAAACTAAACGTGAATAATTTTAACACGCAAGAAATAATAGTGAACAAAAATTTATTTCCTGAAACGTTCAGGATAAACGCCTCGTAAAACAGCAATAAAGTCTGCGCACACGCATCGCGTACATCTCTCCAACCCATCCTTGTTAGCTTGAGTAACCCTCAAGCCGCAGTCGAAACAAGATCTACCGCACGTCATTCAACTTCCCTCTCTTCATTGCATTGGAGGAAATCTATTGTTTAAATGACACTGGGTATCATGGATGGATCCTAATAACGCGAAACACTTGTCCTCTGACCATCGCGATTACAATGAAACTAGATAATACGAAGGATTTCGGTTTGCTAGTGTTATAAGATTGCGATAAAACGCGCGTTTTGTAAATCCAAATTTTTATTATTTAATTAACAAACGCTTAAAGTAAAGTGAAATTCGTGTTCGTCAAAATGTACGGGATGCTGCTGGAAAGTGTACAATATTTTATACAGGTCGGTAAAGTACGAATAAATCATAGAATTGACATTACTGTATACTCGGCTAACACGTGATATACGAGTATACCATACAGCTTATTTAGGATATATGTATGTACTTAAACAATAATTGGGTTTGAATTAAAATTTTATTTTTTTTCTTTGTTTTTCTTTACGATATGCAATTTTTGATGTAATTTCTTAAGATTGTTCTTTTTTTTATAAATACAAAAATGAAAAATTACTTTATTATTAAAAAAAACTCTAATTTTTATTATACATTACTATACCTACCTGAAAAAAGAATATGATTAAGTTATTTATATATAAATTGTTTATATAATTGAAATATGTTGTTTGTGATAAAATTTAAAATATAGTCAAGAAGCTAGTTATTTATGTTTTATAATTTCTTCAATTTTGATAAATAAAAATTTATGTATTTAAAAAATCGTAAAATAATAATATTGTAATTTTACAATTTATAAGTGTTTAAAATTAACACACATTTTTTATTAATTTATTTAATTATTAAAATTGTTATCTGATTAAAACCTACCTTCACAAAATTATTTAACGTTTCAGTATTTTTAATTATACCATTTAATTATAAAATGCATTTAAAAATTAAAACTACATAGTTTACTAAATTTGGCATGTGAGTTTGGAAATCTTATTTTATGTATTTTTATATTTCAATATTCTGGCTTTGTTTATTGCAAATAATACAAAGAATCACATAAGTTTGGTAAGATTATAGTGGCGCAGCTGCTCTTGGAAATATTCAATTTAAGAAGTTTGAGACTGTGAATGTTGTGCTGATGAAGAACAAAAGTTTCTGTACAGTTTAAAAATATTAAAAGTGTTTCTCAGATAAATTTTTTTATTCAACCGTTTGATTAAATTTCTCTTTTTATTAATAACATTAAAAGCAACTTTTTTCTTCAAGTTTTACGTTAAATAAATGCAATCGATTTTTTTTACGTCAAAGGACATTTATCTCCTAGCTGAGCAGATTTTAATGAATCCTATCATGTTTCCTAACGTGTTCTCTTTTTCCCCGATAGACATTTATTTTCAGAAAAAATATGTTATACTTATATAATTTAAAAAAATTATAATAAATTTATGTAACGGTTTAAAATTTTATAAATTAAATATTAAATTAAATTGATATCCGCTCAAATAAATTTAAATATTAAAATATAAGTTACTTTCTATTATATGTATAATAAAAAATATATTATTTTTATATTTTAATAGAGAGTTCGGTGCTTTTACTATACATATACTATATTGTCAAAGGCATAAATGCAATTGTATATGTATATTACATATTCTTTTATTATATTAGTTTATTTATATTTTATTAATATTTCTATCTCAGAAAATAGTGAACGAATAAATGTTAAGTGTAAGTGTATTGTAATTAAAACGTTTATATCGACGCGTGCTAATAAGTTTGACAAATCTATATTAATTGCACGTTCGTCAGCATCCATTTTAATGAACTATATATATACTCACCGGATATTTAATTGTAGAGTTAAGGTCGAATGTATTTATCTTTAATTAAGCTATTTGCATTTTTTGTTACACTGTTTTTTTGTAGAGACTAACAGAATCAAAATTAAACTTATTTATTAATCTAAGTTTTTACGAAATTTTAAACAAGATTTAATGAAATTGTTCGTAAAAACATTTTTATATTGTTAATTATATACAATAATTGATATTATTACATTGTCATAATAATTAATTTAATATGATCTACTTGTTTCTGGAAAATTATTCTAAAAAAATTTATCTACCTACTTATAATATTTGCCACGTACTTGCGAAGGAAACGCTTTATAGATATGTATAATAATAAGCGAGGTACTTGAATATGAATGGACTTATAACTACTTCCTTTTAATCTTTGATATTTTAATTGTACAAAGTTTTAAAAATAGAATTTCCATTTTATCTTAACATACGTAAAGCTAATTTTATTGATTTGTTTTAAATATTGCCCTTACTTTTCTCTAATATTGTATCTTTCTTTTAATTACTTGTAATTATATAGACTTAATGATGTATATTTCTATGTATTTTTTTTATATAAGATATATCTTTAGTTATATTATGTGTGATATGTTTCTTTATTATTTTTATTGCTTTCTATTATTTTTAGTATTTTATATTCATGTACACAATTTATAAATAAC